GTCCTCCTGTCCAAGTTGATGCAGGCTGCCAGGCTCGTAATCTGTCATGCGCCCCTGTACCGCCTCTCCTCATGCTGCTGCCAGGTCCAGAGTGTGTCATGGGCCCCCCCGTACCGGTGAGCTCCTCATGCTGCTGCCCAGGCCTCGTAATCTGTCAATGGGCCCCTGTACCCGCCTCCCATGCTGCTGCCAGGTCCAGAGTGTGTCATTGGGTACCCGTGTATAGGCCCCCATTGCTGCTGCCAAGGCCCCGTAATCATGCCATGCGGGCCCCCGTACCGACTCCTCATGCTGCTGCAGGACCTCGTAATCTGCCATGGGCCACCGTGTACGCGCCTCCTCATGCTCGCTGCACAGGTCCAGAGTGTGTCATGGGTCCCTGTACGAGACATCCCATTGCTGCTGTCTCTATCGCCACCACTCTGCCCATGTGAGCCACTTTCAGGGGTCTCCTCACACTGCTGGTGTTTCCATTTTTTGTCATAGGTGCTGTATGGGCCTCCCATAGCTGCTGCCAATCCACCGCCACAGCTGTGGAGGCTCCACACTCTGGTTTTGGCCCCGAGACTGGACTGCCCAAATGGAGTGAAGTGTGCGGTTGATTCTAAGAATCGCGCGCACTCATCTGCATGTCATAATACTGCCTGACAGTATTATTTCTCTTCCCTAGCAGACTCACCAAAGGCATTTTAAATTAAAGGTACAGTGTTCAGCACTAATATTAAGTCTCTCTGAAGCCTAGAACGTGTAAATAGGTCACAGACTATAAAGTCATTCCCTTTATTTACATGTAGCACTACCTCCTTGGGAGTCATTGAGTCATTTTCGGTCTCCCTGTCACTTTTGACCCCACACTGAAAGCCGAAACCCCTGTCAAAAGATCATAATGTTTCTGCTCCATGCCATGAGGCTTGCTGCAATGCCTTACTGGGAAAAGGGGTGGGATATCTATACAGCATTAACTAAACCAAAGGAAAGGGAGGAGCAGAGACAAGATATAGAAAACACTTAAAGGCATATAACAGTCAATATGACAGTCATGTGAAACATGACAAATAGACTCACACACAAGTTAGAGTGAACTGATATTTTGTTTATATTATGGTTGAATATGAGCACAGTAAAGCAGCACAAAACAATAGGTGTGCATATAACAGTTAAAATCACTCTTAGTAATTTTAAGCACAAACCAACACATACAGCAAAAATCTCAGTCAGTTCTGGATGTCCTGCAATTCAAAATGTAACCAAGGGCCTCAACTCTGAGATGTTTCTGTGCCCAGTGAGTAAAAGAAAATTACTAAAAAGGAAGGCTAGCTCACTTTGTTCCCTCAGAAGCTGATGACAAAACTCAAGTCTGAGGTAAGGAAAGAGTTCTCTTTAACAGCAGTGGAAAATCTTCTGCATGCTGGTTGGGGCCCAGTTGGTGCACTACAAGAATTCAGATCTCCTTGGTTACAATAGGTAGAAATCCCTCAAAAAGGATTTATGCAAGCACAGGCAATACCCCTTTAATAAGCAAGATGAGATGTAGGTTTTAAGCAAGAGGTTTAAGGGGTTAGAAAAACCACTTAGTAGTGAAGGATTAATTCCTCTCTAGGCTGCAGTAGCAAATGGCAACAATAACAAGTGTCCCTTAATGAATATGAGCCAATTACAGAAGAAGCAGTGGTGTGGCTTGGCCCACATAGGTCAGACACTGCAGTAGGCTCTGATGACTGGATTATGCTGGAGATGTGTTTGCTAATAGGCCGGGTGAACTAGGCCTCAACTTGTGTCATTTTTGTGAACAATGTCAATAACTAGATAACAGGATGGCTGATTCAAGAGAATGTCAGTGACAACTTAATTGGCTTGAGAACAGGGTTCTCTCACCCGATACGTGGTATCATCCCAATCACTGGTGGTCTCTCTCTGTAGATGGAGGCCCCCAGTGGTCCTGCGGTTCCTCCTGTAGAGTTTGTTTGAGACTGCAGTGCTCCAGGTCACCTGCCAACAGGGTAGTTCTCCAGACTCTTTGGCGATGTCAGAGGCCAACTATTCCTCCCTCCTTCTCCACTCTCTCATTCTCTACGGCCTGGTCCGGTGCTTCGGCATTCTGCACAGCCTTCTCCTCACATCCTCCTTCCAGTTCTCTCCCAGCTTGCTTCCTGCCTCCTGTCCCCAGGCTTCTACATTTATATGCCTCTGCACACACACTAGCACCTCTGGGAAATGTAGTCCCCCAATTCGCTGCCTTGCAACAAAGTCCCGCGGTTCAACCTACAAAATCTATAAAGCTTTTCACCAGAGTGTGTGCCACTGACACAGGACACTGCCACCTTGTGTCACTTTTAACATCCTGCAGTCTGAATAATAGATTGTTACATAAAGACTCACATTAAATCATATTTCAACATTTTTGTAGTCATAAAGGCACAAAATAAATCCATAGTATTCTCTTTAAAGGCCAACTTAAAACATTTTTCTCAATGGTGAATATGAGTGCAAATTAGAGACGTTAGTAGAGATCTGTAAGTATAAACCCCTATACCCTTCACACAGGACCTAGGGTACTGGGGTTTTTCTATTGGGGAAATATTGATTGACTTCAGTTCTAATGCTCCAGTAATGTTTTGGCACCATGTATGTGGACTTTTTACAGAACATTTTCAGCATAAAGGATAGTGAGCGCTCTTATAAATAACAGCAGCTAGAACACTTCAGGCAACCACAATGCCTCCAAAATATCAATATAACCATAAAACATCAGAGTGCAGCGCTTAGAAAAATAAATAAATATGTGGTTCAAAATAGTAAAGAGTCAATAAAGTATCAATAAAGTATCCACAGTGTTTCACTGGAGAAATGCGAACTTCCACGGCCTTTACTCTTTCAAATAACAGAAATGCGCACTCACCGGAAACGCATGGGTTATGCGCATGTATGATCAAGCATCCCAGGTAATGCGTACATCAGAGGTTAGGCAGCAGGCATTTCCCTCACGGTGGGTCATCACAGACTCTTTAGTCAGGTCCAGGGGTCCCCTTAAGGTCAGCCAGGTGCTCCACACAAAAACCTCCTCTCAGGGTGGCAAAGTGCTTTCTCTGTGGGGATGATAGCTCCACATAGGAGCCCCAGAAAACAGATGCCAAAGATAGTGTAGTACTTCCAAAAAGTATTTTATTTATAAAAACAGCAGGGCAGTGTGCATAATCAATGTCATATGAGAACAAGAAAAAAGCAGCAGTACTGACCCCAGTAATGATGGCCGCCGGGCCTCCTCGTGGCTCCGGCGGTGAAATGACGTCACACTCTGCACAGCTCCTCCTTAGGCCTTTCGTGCTACAGGCACATCATCAGAGGGGAGGCCTGAAAAAAGCAGTACTGCTGCTTTTTTCTTGTTCTCATATGACATTGATTATGCACACTGCCCTGCTGTTTTTATAAATAAAATACTTTTTGGAAGTACTACACTATCTTTGGCATCTGTTTTCTGGGGCTCCTATGTGACCTGACTAAAGAGTCTGTGATGACCCACCGTGAGGGAAATGCCTGCTGCCTAACCTCTGATGTACCCATTACCTGGGATGCTTGATCATACATGTGCATAACCCATGCGTTTCCGGTGAGTGCGCATTTCTGTTATTTGAAAGAGTAAAGGCCGTGGAAGTTCGCATTTCTCCAGTGAAACACTGTGGATACTTTATTGATACTTTATTGACTCTTTACTATTTTGAACCACATATTTATTTATTTTTCTAAGCGCTGCACTCTGATGTTTTATGGTTATTTTTACAGAACATTGTTGACCTGAATACAGCAATGGTGCTCAGCAGCAATCAAAAGCTATATTTACCCTTAAATATGACACTGTATTGGCAATCAGCAGATACAGACCGTTTTCTATCTTGTCCAGATATGCCCTTGCAGTGAACCTTGTTTCTTTGGGCAGATATACTTTATGGAACAATAGAACAGATATTTAAAAATGACTGCATATATGTAGAAACTATTAGTTCATCACTATGAACTATGGACAGCATTAGTGACCATTGAAAAATACTGAGGTTTGGGACCTCCCCTACCCCCCCGAGGCATAAAACACATTGGGATATAGACTGGAATGATTTCCCTTCTTGACAGCAGTATGGACTTTACTCAGTCTCTCTTTTTTAAGGGGGGAGGGGGTGGGGGTTAAAGATTTGCTATACACTTTTTCCTATATCAAATGCCACTTGCAAAAGCCACACTTTTAGGGAGAACATGGCAACTTGCTGACTTAGCCACAAAATCCACAGGAGGTTTAACTCACTAAAAGAACTAGAATCAAATGTAGTTTATTGCAGATTTGCAGTACGTTAGCACCTGTCCCTTTTTCCTGGGAAAAGTATCTATTGTGAAGGGGCTGTACCAAGGAAATGGGCACCATAAACGTTGCTGTACACAGGCTCTGACTCATCAGTTCAAAAATTGCACTCCTTGGGTGCTCTGCATGTGTACAGCCATTCATGCTGGTGCACATGCACAGACCGCCACTCCAGTCGTATAGTTTTGGACTGATGCTTGCACAGTGTGATGAGTTGGAGCCAGTACACTGCTCCCCAGAAAGATGCTGGGCTCCAGGAATAACACAAATAAGCAGCAATCTGCAAGCACCTTGCTGCAGACCTTATCCATGAACTCTTAATCCTCAACTCTGAACTCTGCATTACTTAATCCTTGCCCCTGAAGTTTAGGGATCAGGATTAAGTAATGCAGAGAGTTAAAGGATCAGGATTACACACTGCAAAGAATGAGGGGTCAAGATAAGGAAGTGCACAGGCTTTGGGGGTCAGGATTAAGTAGCACACAGGGATCAGGGATCAGGATTAGGTAAGGTAGAGCATTCTCTATTACTTACTCTCAACTTCTTAACTCTGTGTATTGCTTGGTTCTGACCCTTTATGTTTGTGCATTTTCTAATTCTAACCCCTTTACCTCTATATATTCATATGAACTCCTCAAAATACACACATGCTCTATATTGCCAAAAGTATTGGGACACCCCTCCAACTCATTGGATTCAGGTGTTCCAATCACCTCCAGTGTATAAAATCAAGCACCTAGGCATTCAGACTGCTTCAACAAACATTTGTGAAAGAATGGGTCATTCTCAGAAGCTCAGTGAATTCAAACATGGTACCATGATAGGTTGCCACCTGTGCAATAAGTCCATCCATGAAATTTTCTTGCTACTAAATATTCCACGGTCAACTGTTAGTGGTATTCTAACAAAGTGGAAGCAACTGGGAACAACAGCAACTCAGCCATGAATTGGTAGGCCACTTAAAACGACAGAGCGGGGTCAGCGCATGCTGCAGCGCACAGTGTGCAGAAAGCAACAACTGTCTGCAGAGTCAGTAGCTAAAGACCTATGAACTTTGTGTGGCATTCAAATAAGCACAACAATGTGTAGAGAGCTTCATGGAATAGGTTTCCATGGCCGAGCAGCTGCATCCAAGCCTTACATCACCAAGTGCAATGAAAAGTGTTGGTTGCAGTGGTGTAAAGCACGCTACCACTGGACTCTAGAGCAGTGGACACGTGTTCTCTGGAGTGACAAATCATGCTTCTCTGTCTGGCAATCCGATGGACGTGTCTGGGTTTGGCAGTTGCCAGGAGAACAGTACTTACCTGACTGCGTTGTGCCAAGTGTAATGTTTGGTGAAGGGGGATTATGGTGTGGGGGTTTTTTTCATGCTCCCAACTTTGTGGGAACAGTTTGGGGAAGGCCCCTTCTTGTTCCAACGTGACTGCATATTAGTGCACAAAGCAAGGTCCACGAAGATATGGATGAGCAAGTTTGTGGTGGAGTAATTGACTGGCCGGACCTGAACCCAATAGAACACCTTTGGGATGCATTAAACCGGAGACTGTGAGCCAGGCCTTCTCATCTGACATCAGTGCCTGACCTTACAAATATTTTGAAGCTGTTATAGCTGCAAAGGGTGGGCCAACTCATTATTGAACCCTATAGACAAAGACTGGAATATCATTAAAGTTCATAGTGTATATATATCTTTATATATATACATATCTTTGTACATTTAAGTAAATAAAGTATAGTTAAGTATAGCACTCTCCTAAACAGCTAGGGGTAGCTAGACTCCAGTTATTAGTTAGGGCCGTGTAGCAGCCTGGGTGTGATAGCTAGCAGGGGTCAAATTGTGGTCAGAGCTGAGAGGCTCTGCAGACCAGCCCTCTGGAATTTCCCCCTGCTCTAGAACTTTGGAGAAAGACCTAGAAGCAGTGGGAGGACCTGAGAAGTGGCTGGTCTGTGCTCTTAGAGGATCCTGGCCAATCCCCAACAAGAGGCTTGGCAAGGGGCCAGGACAGCCTTTAAGAGTAACTGAGCCTGCTCAGCTGCAAGAGAGTTTGGGAGGAAGAGGAGGATGTGAGCAGGAGCCTGGGAGTGGGCCAAGATAGGAGAAGGGCTCAACACCAGGCCGGAGGACCTGGGGAGGCTGAAAGCTTGGAACTTCACCGGCCCCCTGAGAGAGAACCACCTGTGTGGTAGCGAAGGAGGCCCAGCTAGAAGGCCTGGTAGAAGCCACCAACCCACCAGCAACACAGGAGAAGGACTAAGTGAGTAGACCTCCACCCCCTGGGCCAGATAGGAGAAGGAGGCACTGGTTTAGCCTGCCACCCAGGACTGTTTCACCCTTTTTCATGTGACAGACACGGGATCCCTGTCAACTATGTACAAATGGTTACAGCAAACAGTCTCTTCTGGAGAGCTATCAAGTGTCTCCTGAAGTACCACCCCAGAACCAAGATGCTCCTCAATCCTTCCAGGCAGTCGGATTGAGGAGCATCTGGGGTCTGGGGTGGTACTACAGGAGACACTTGATAGCTCTCCAGAAGAGACTGTTTGCTGTAACCACTTGTACATAGTTCAGGAAGTCATCCTTGGTTTCTCAGTTCCATTTTGCATCCCGTACACCTCTTTCCCCATCCAATTTCTAAATCCCCTAATAAAACTTAAAAACATGCTCAAGGACTGGTTACTGACTCCTGGATGCAAGTGGATATGAAAATGCGTGTTGCCTGGCTGTGCGGAACTATAGGGGGACCCAAAACTGTTGCAACCTCCCAGATTGTAAGCTCCAAGGAGCAGGGCCCTCAAATCCCTCTTGTATTGAACAGTTTTGTTGCTGTATTGTCTCCCGTTATATTATAAAGCGCTGAGCAAACTGTTGGCACTATATAAATCCTGTATAATAATAATAATAGTAACTCCTAAGGGTAGTGCTACATAAGCATAGAAAGACTGATTAACATACAGACAGGTGATCAATGGTAACTAACGGCAGTAAAATAATATAGATAGTGGTTTCACTATGATAAGTTTTTTTTCTTTTTTCTTTGAATGTATTTGTTTATAGTTAGTAGTTTAAGCACGCCCGGTAACTAAATGTCAGACCCATCATCTCATCGTATCTCATCTCATAAAACATAACAAACGAAAAGAAAAAAACAAATGTTCGGGGGTTTCAGTACACAGTGCAAACACACTGATATACTGATATTAAAGGCAAACTAAAGAGGTTAAGCCAGGAATAGATGGTTAATAATATAGCATATAAAAACATACTGTGTAAGCGATTGGAGAAGAGCAGGCAATTACCAATATGTGTCTCTACATGTTAAAGTATAATAACTGTGAATGATGAAAAAAGGTTGCAAAAAAGGCTACAATGAATGTTTTGGGCTTTTCCTCTCACTTGCAAGCAGGAAAAGCTTAGATTCTGACATTTACTATGCAAAAAAAATGAGGACAATCGGAAAGGTCACTGACAGGTGTATTCATGAAGACTGGAGCAATAGAATAGCATACTAAATTTCTCTTTGACGAAGACAGTAGCTAATTTAGCATCTGTATTGCTTTACTGGAAAGACGTCAGACTCAATTTACATAATGATAAGTGTCTGTATATTCAATCATGTGACTGTACTTTTCAGATATAATATAATTTGATGTATATATTACACTATATTTATTATAGAAAGAGAGAAGTGACTGGAAGAAAGCTGGAGACATAATATGAATAGCTATTTTTACCAAGATTGGTAAAATAGAGAGGAAAGAAGATTTAAGAGAAACCATTGAAGGAAACCCTGACAGCTCAGATAGCTATGAGGAAAACCATAAAAAGTCATTAGGCCCAAATACTACAGCACAAAAACCAGACCAGATCGTATGTAAGAAAGTGCTGGAAGATTTTCAATCGGCACAATACCTTTAATATTACACGTTTATTAAACTCTATAAATACATTGCATAATTTGTTAGACATGCATTTCTTTTGAATTTTTTGTTGCTATTCTGTCTCTCAGTGTTACAATACACCTACCATTCAATTTTTAGACTTATCATTTCTTTGCGAGTGGACAAACATTCAAAATCAGCAGGGGATCAAATACTTATGTCCTTCACTGTATATATATATATAATATATATATATATATATATATATATATATAGAGAGAGAGAGAGAGAGAGAGATAGAGAGAGAGAGAGAGAGATATAGATATATATACACACACAATATATTGCCAAAAGTATTGGGACACCCCTCCAAATCATTGTATTCTGGAGTTCCAATCACCTCCATGGCCACAGGTGTATGAAATCAAGCACCTAGGCATGTAGAATACTTCTACAAATATTTGTGAAAGAATGGAGCTCAGTGAATTCAAGTGTGGTATTGTGATAGGTTACCACCTGTGCAATAAGTCCAAAATTTCCTTGCTACTAAATATTCCACGGTCAACTGTTAGTGGTATTATAACAAAGTGCAAAGTGGAAGCAACTGGAAACAACAACTCAGCTACGAAGTGGTAGGCCACGTAAAGTGACAGAGCGGAGTCAGCACATGCTGGAGCACATGAAGAAGTCACCAACTCTCTGCAGAGTCAATAGCTTAAGACCTCCAAACTTCATGTGACCTTCAGATTAGCACAACAACAGCCAGACCTTCTCGTCCGACATCAGTGCCTGACCTCACAAATGCACTCACTTTTGGAAGAATGGTCAAACATTTCCATAGACACACTCCTAAACCTTCTGGACAGCCTTCCCAGAAGAGTTGAAGCTGTTATAGCTGCAAAGGGTGGGCCAACTTAATATTGAACACTACAGACTAAGATTGGGATGCCATTAAAGTTCATGTGCGTGTAAAGGCAGGCAACCCAATAATTTTGGCAATATAGTGTGTATATATATATATATATATATATATATATATTATATATATATATGTATATACACACACAAACATGTTCTCCACTGATCATATTTGTTTCATAAACCACCAAAGTACTGAGTTCAGCAGCGATTCTCAGGATCGCTGCTGATCTCAGTTTCATAGACAGACACGTAAACCTTTTACAAACTTTGAATTAGATGCTGTCAGTGCTTACACAGCCTCAATAATGTTTCCTGCTTAGGTTTAAGCATTGCATGCTGGAAAGGGGTTATTTGCTCCCTTAACCACTAGCCTACAGGGCACTTATACCCCCTTCCTGCCCAGGCCAATTTCCAGCTTTCAGCGCTGTCACACTTTGAATGACAATTGCGCGGTCATGCAACACTGTACCCATATGAAATTTTTATCATTTTTTTGAGACAGATAGAGCTTTCTTTTGGTGGTGTTTAATCACCTCTGGGATTTTTATTTTTTCTTAAACAAACCAAAAACCACTGAAAATTTTGAAAAAAAAAAAGTATTTTCTTAGTTTTTGTTATACTATTTTGTAAATAAGTGATTTTTCTCCTTCACTGATGTGCGCTAATGAGTGATGGGCACTGATAGGCTGCACTGATGGACACTGATAGGTGGCACTGATGGGCACTGATGAGGAGGCACTGGTAGGTTGCACTGATGGGCATTGACAGGCATCACTGATGGGCACTGAAAAGCAGCACTGATAGATGACACTGATATATGGCACTGATAGGCGGTACTGATAGGCAACACTAACTGGCACTGATAGACGGCACTGACTGGCACTGTTAGGCAGCACTGACTGGCACTGATAGGCAGCACTGACTGGCACTGATAGCACTGTTCAACAGGTAAAAAGTTTTGGGCATAAAATTAGCTAATCTTACATAATTTTGGGGTGCTGAAAACGAAAATGACCCTAAAAAAATGTTGATTGGCTCTAGTTTCCATGATATATTCACCCATCTAATGACGTAAGCCATTCAAAAATTATGATGCAACTTCAGCTGCATCTTGCGCAATTGATACTGGTGACCAATAGAAAATTGCATGTATACTGAGATGATGCAATATTAGCCTTTAATTGCATCACTTCACTGCATAAAAGCTGCAGTATCTGTAGCTGATT